CATTTGGGGCCTTTGTGTGTCTGTGTTGGCTCGTTTTCATGTAGGGCACCACTAATGCTGCAAAGAGGCTCCAAGAGATTCTCGCAGCCCTCAGATGAGAGCGTATCAAACGGCCCCTGAATGCAGAGAGAAAATTGTGGAACAGACATCACTTCATTTAGAGGGACCACAAACAAGTGCCTGTCTCTGGTGCTTTTAGGGGGTTTGTGGGGGTCCCAGTAATGATGTTCACTCTCCAGCCTTCACACAGGGCTGTTTTGTTGTCACCTTATATGCACCGCTTCATCTCAAATAACGCAGATGTCTGATGCAAAGATAGGCTGGATGTCTTAGCGCCGACTGCAGTGGATGACGGTTTGCACTAACTGAAGCTGATGCGTTCAAAGACACGGCCTTTGCATGAACAAAAACCTGTGGCGCTCTGTCTCACTCTCCTGCTTTTCTTTTCTAGTTGTTGGTTACATAACTTGGCAGCCAAGGTCTGATTTTGTCTCAGCATCACACTCTCTCCGCTTCTGATGCAAATGTAAAAAAGTGAATAAAAAGATATTACGTCTGTGCTGCATGCTGGCACAAAGCCCCTCTGTCAAATCTTTAAGCACTCAGTGGATTAAAAACAGGAATGCATAAAAACAATATGAGAATTAAAGAGTAAGAAAATAAATTAGAGTTAAGAAACGCAGACCACTCGCTGCAGTGCATGCCAAAGATATCATGCAGTCTGTTAGCACTCAGAGTACGAGTTGGGGATGACTCTCAGCTACTACTACACCAAAATGTACCTAAATAACTGAAAAAAACATGGCTGTTATAGCCATTTTTGTGTTTTCCAATGTGACCTAACTATGGAGGCCATCTTGATTGGCTCCAGAAGTTAATCAGTTGTAGATTTACATTCAGTATTTTTTTTCTTGAACGTTTTTTCGTTAACAGAGTTGAGTCTGAATAGTTAATGGCGTTAATTTAAACAAAGAGCTTGTGTGATCTGTTCAGAAGCTGTGGATCACTCTCGGTTACTACCACACCAGATTTAAGGTCAGTTTAAAGTAAAACTGACATTAGACGTGCTGATTTTATTTAATTTATCTACTGCATATGAAGCAAGAACTCTTCTTCTGTTAGTATTTGTGAGAAAAATGTTGGCAGTGAAAAGATTTACACTGTAAAAAATGATTTTAGACAATAAAATAACATTTTAATTGACTGAATTTGACTCAAATTTTATCTTTAATTTCAAGTATCATAAAATATGCAAACAAAATTGATCACTAGTTAAGAAAATGTCTCAATTAAATGTTAACTGTCTAAAATGAATAAAAATAGAAATGTTTGGAGAGGTAGTTTATTGTATGTTCAAAGCTGCTAACATGTAATCAGCTGCATATTAGCAGTAAGCTAAAGAGGAGCTAGCTAACTAGCCTCGCCTTCTGTTTGTGAGTGTGTTTAAAATATTTGATCAAATTTTCTCAAAGAATTTGTTGTGAACATTTTTCAAATATATCTTTTCATGTGGAGCTGTACAGAAAGATTTCGAACAATTGAGGCACATGTTGCAGATATCTTTTTAAACCGCTTCAGTTAGGAGAAATTGATTTCTATCCAAACTGATAAATAATCGGTGTGGAACCAAAACCAATACTGGTTGCTGCTTTCACGGTGTTTCATACCAAAACTATTTTGTAAATCATTTACATCGCTGCTGAGCCAATCAGCACCCGGGGCAGGACTGGCCATCGGGAGCACCGGGACATTTTCTAGTGGCCTGGCCGACTAAAGGTGCAGTCTGGGTTGCACTTGATTATTTTAAATAAACAATCCATGTGGCATGTGGGTGTGCCCGCCTGTTGTGTGTTTCTGCTCTACTGTGAAATACAGCCTCGGAAAGAGAAAGGAGGGGGCCCCTCGGCGATCACTGAGCGGGCCAGGCCACCGGGAAATGTCCTGGTGCTCCTGATGGCCAGCCCATCCCTCAGCACAATGCTCTAGTTCAGAGATATTCAACTGGTGGCCCGCAGGCCGGAAATGGCCTGCGGATGACTTCAATCTGGCCCACTTCATAAAGAAATATTTTTGTGTTCTGGGTTTGTGTTCTGTTTATTGCATATATGATTCAATGCAATAAAATAAACAAATTTAAAAGGATCATTGTAATACTTGATTTATTTACATAATGACTTTAATTGCTGGATGTCCGGCCCCTGAGCTGCTGGCTTTCAGAAACTGTGGCCCCCTGAGCAGTTTTGTTGAATAGAGGGTCACCTTCCATCAATCAGCCAATTGTGTGTTGTGTACAATTTATGTTGAAAACCCGTGAAAGAGTGAGTCTGCGAAATTCGAACTGCGAAGTATCGAGGAATTACTGTATTTCAAAAATGATCATGAGAAATTATTTGTATGATTTTATTGATCCAATTCCAACATTTTGTGCCTGAAGCTCATTAAAATTCACATATTTTTCCTTTAATAGTCATAAAATGTCGTCTGATTTTTATTAGGATCCTAAAATCAAACAGAATGGAAAAAAAAATCCAAGAAATGAAGTTAAACGGGTAATAGTTGTATTTATAAACTTACGTTCTTTTATTCAAATATCAGTATAATTGATCCATGAAATGTGTTTTGATTGGCTCATTTTAAGGTGAGAGTGGAGTCGTGTGTTTTCAGTCAGTGGAAATCTGTGGACTACGAGACACTCTGTCACTAAATGACATTATGTTTTCTTCTGAGGGCTGCACGGTGTGTAGGTGGTTACCTCTGTTGCTTCGCAGCAAGAAGGAACTGAACTCAACAGTGTGGAGTTTGCATTTTCTACTCAGGCATGGGTATTTAAAAAAATTTTTTTACTGGGTACTCTGGTTTCCTCCCATAGTCCAAAACCATGAGTCCATTCAGCCACTTTAAGTTGTCCCTCAGTGTGAGTGTAAAGGCCTGTTTGATTTGTTTGTCTCTGTGTTGACCCTGGGATAGACTGGGATCATCCCATAATGTATACCACTTGTCCCCTGTTGACTGCTGGAGATAAACCCCAGCTCTTCTGGGAGGACTCCAAACTGTTCCCAGGTCAGCCAAAAACCAGTCTCTTCTGCATGTCCTGGGTCTTCCCTGAGGTCTTGTCTCAGTTGGAAATACCTGGAACTCCTTCATAGGGAGGCATTCAGGGAGCGTCTTTACCAGACGTGTGAACCACCTCAACTGGCTCCTCTCGATGTGGAGGAGCAGAGCCTCTTCTCTAAGTCTCTCCCTGATAACTGAACTTCTCACCCGATCTCTACAGGGGAGTCCAGCTGCCCTGCAGAGGATTTATTTTGACCACCCACATCTGCAATCTCATCTTAGATTGCCCATAGGTGAGGGCAGGAATGTACATGACTAAACAAAGAGCTTCATCTTGCAGCTCAGCTCCTTCTTCACCACAATGAACGGGCACAATATACACAATACTATGGAAGCAACAACCAATATGTCTGCTGATCCCATGCTTAAATAGTTTCACTGTAAAAATGTGTTTGTCTCCTAAATCATTGCATTCCAACTAACTTTTTTAAACATATTATGAACAATTAACAGATGTTGCAATAAATTCATGTATAAAATGTGGACATGCTTTAGTCATACAGGATTAAAAATAAACACAAAATGACCCATTTTCTTTACTGTTCACTCTCATCTCTCTTAAACACTGTAGAAAATGTAAATTTGTGTCTTCCTCTCTTTAGTTTCAGTGTAGTGTCTGAGGTTTTAAGCATAAAATTAGCGATAAGGCAGGGTTGGACAGCACAGAGCCTCAGGAGATACTTGCATTTTATTTATTCAGTCACGTCATGGTGTCTGGAGTCACGTGCGCTTGGATTGAATTAGATTTGGCAGCAAACAGTGGCTGCCCGAGGACAGACATGTTAATGTGTTATTGGGTCGATGTGAGGAAACCAGTGTGGCAAACGTGCACCGCATGAAGTGATCAAGTCTCTAAAACACGACGGTGAAGAGAGACTGGTTCAGATCCGTCCGTGTGATCCGAGGCCGCTGCGGTCAACGTGAGCGAAGTGGCCTGTGAGAGCAGCTGCAGACGTCCTCCAACACCTGTCCTCAAGGCCGCGGCGCTGCCACGGAAAGGGCAGAATCAATTATTTCAGTGGATGTTTACGTAACGTTCAGGATGCAGGCTCGCTCCGGGGGAAGCATCAGGAGGGCTCAGAGTTCAGCTGCGAGGAAAAACTGGTTTGTGTTTATTTCAGGCTGCAGGACGATCCACCCTCAGTCTCTCCAGAAATCGTTCAGGAGTCCATCTTGGCTCCTTTAAAGCACGAGTCTAATTAGTGCTCTGACAGCTTGCTATAAATATAAATTGTTTGCACAGCCCACATTTATCTTAATTACCTTTTAATCTCGTCTATTATTCTTCGTTCGATCAATTTTAATAATCTGCCTGCTCCTTCTCTTCCTCATGGAGCTGGGGGGTCAACAGTGTTCTCTGAACTCAAAGTGATCTTAAAACCTGTCCCAGCGTTTTTATATTTTATGTTTTTATTTGAGCAAAGAAGAAGGTTTACACTGATGTATATCATTAAACTCACATGTTGTGGATTTTCTCTGTAAATCAAGGTGAAGGCAGAGCGATGGTGTTTTTATCTGTCTGTGTGTGCGTTTTCATTTTTCTGTACTGTTAGCAAAATACCTCATGAACCACTGGACGGATTAGAGTGTCAGACAATCATCCTTTGATGTACACCTGCAGCTGATAAAGGTTTGGAGTCAAACCTGTTCAAGATGGCTGCCACAGTGACTTTATAAAACACATGAATGACTACAAGTCAGTCGCTGTGACAGATATTAAGCTAAAGTTCAGTGTGGTAGTAGCTGGAAGTCGCCCTCAACACAAATTTCAAGCACGATACATTGTGCAGAATTTTAACTGTTGTAGTTTGTCTGTTAACAAAATATCTTGTGAACCACTGGACAGGTTTTAATGAAATTCTCAGAAAGGCAACTGGTTACCTGTTCTGGTCAACTGGTCGAGTTATTAAAACAACTAGAGCTCGCTCCCCATCCCGCCCACTGCTTCCATCTGTGACATCACGGAGGAGCAAAGATGGCGCCCAAAGAGGGCAACAGCTGACAAAGAAACTATTAGATTAACAGCAGGCTCAACTGGGTTTGTGTCACAAATTATTTGTAATCTTTTTACAATAAATTAATAGAATTGATAATTAACGATGATGTCATTCAACAATCATGTAAAGCAGCTAGAGGATACAGTATATAAGGAAAATATGCTGTTTATAAATAATGATGATGTCAACTAGATCTGACGTCAGTCATTTAAATGCACACAACTCAGAATTTACACATAAAGGGCTTATATTTATTATTTTTTAATCAACAACCTGTTCTGTAGTCGACACTTATAAATGTTCACTTCATACTCGGTGATACTTTGAAGGATAATAATAATGTGTTATGTGTTGTCATCATTGTATGTTCCCATACAAAGATTAAATTGGCTTTCTGCATTTAACCCAACACACCTGGGATACACCCAGGTGGAGCAGTGGGCAGCTATTGAAAGCGCCTGGGGGGCAATTGGGGCCATGAGATGTGCAATGACTGGGGATCGAACCTGGGACTTCCAGGTCCTGAGTTGGCTGCCCTGCCTCAAATCTTGTCTCCATCAAAAATCAGCTGAACAGTAGCTAAAATAGTTGAAAGAAGCTAAATTAGCAGAAGGAAGTGAGAGAGCACAGCTGTGCCCAATTAGGCTTAAAGAAACAGAAATATTGGCTAAACATCTTCTCAACTGGTCAGGTTTGTGTAATTGAAGCTTAAAAATAGTCCCATATATAATATTATTTTACACTGTGTAAACATTACATAAATCTGAGGCATTAACAGGTTGTACTGTTTAATAAATTGTGCTAAATTGTAGCAGGATTCAGCTCAGAGCTACAATCTGTAGAACAATATCTGCCACAGAGGTTAATATCTACGAGCCAGTTCACTAATTAACACTGTTACATGGGCTTTATAGAATAAACTTAATTTTAAATGGTTACATTATTAGCTTCAGTTATGGCCATTGAGGTGAATAAGATCAAATCTAACGACAGCTAAAATGAGACAGTTTCCCTTTTATTTTAGGTTTATTCAACTGTAGCACAGCTTTGTGGCATTTTTACATTATTATATGCTGATAGCTTATATATACATTCTAATATTATGTTAATATTATCATTAATAATTTTTACATAATCAGCTCTTAAAATTGGCCATTTAGCCCATTTCTACAACAATAAGTCCAGACGCTGGTCCTCTCTGGTTATGGCTCCCGTCCCTCGAATCACGTCATGTGACCAACGCTTCCTCTAGTTGTCTTATTTAACTCTCTGAGTCGAGCTGACCACCGCAGCTAACTGACTTTATCAAACACAAACATGACTAGAACCCAGTTGGACAGATATTGAGCTAGAAATTGTTGTGGTAGTAGCTGAGAGTGATTCACAACACACACTCTGAGCAGGGATCTCTCAGTATTGTGTGAAAGACTATAAGACTACAGTTTGTCTTTATTTAAAGTGGTTTTGCGTCTTCAGATGTACCAGCATGGCAGAGACCTCTGCGAGAGCCTGTGGGGCGACGCCTTCATGACGGTGGAGGATGACCCCCAGGCGGTGGGGGACGCCGGAGACACGGGTGTGGATGGCCGCCCGTGCGGCTGCCTGACCCTCAGTCCCTCAGACAAGGACGTGATCGCCAACCTCAGGGCCCAGCAGGACGACCCAGAGGAGCTGGACACCACCAAGGCCGGCCTGCCGCAGTACCGGGCCCCCTGCAAGGCCAAGCTGCCCGAGCCGGCCAGGAGCGGCAGGAAGGGGAACTTGGTGCTGCGCAAGCGCTCGGTGGAGATGGAGGACGTGGAGGGCAGTGGGAGCGGACTGTAGAGGATGTTAGATGAAATGTGTTTAGAGATCATTACATAGTTCCTGATGCACAAATTATAAACGTTAAAGCTGAACTGTAGCCTTCCTGTTCTGATTCATCTTAACCACAAAAACCTAACAGCTCCTTCTCTCCGTCACATCTTTTCTGGGTGATGTGGAACTATTTATGTGCTGTAAGTTAGGCTTAATGATGAAAACACACCCAGTCACTTCAACAGCAGGAACATTGTAACAGTATAAATATATTTCAAAGTACACGTCAATCCTCGGAGGACTCTGAGGTCGACAACTTAACATAATATATAAACGCAACGTGTCTCACGCCCTGCTGTGTTAGCATGTCTGACTACATCCAACCTGAAAGAATTTAAACCATTTTCAATGAGATTCTGTTAAAAGCTTAGGAACAATGACTATCTTACCTGTTGTAGATAGCTCTTTGAGCGACTTCCGTTTGGAGAAGCAAAGTTTTGTGAGCTGACAGCTAATCCGAGCGCAGCAAAGCATCTTATAACAACTCCAACCCCATATTTCACTTCACACAAACGCTGTCCCACAAACATTTACATCATCATCAAGGTGAAAGGTGAAACAAACACACCTGCCTTCACCCTCATTCGCTCCACTCTGGGCCCCTGAGCAAGGCCCTTAACCCCATCATCTGCTCCCTAAACAGGTCTCTGTAGAAAATGAGTTCTCGTGACTCAATGAGACTACCTGGATAAATAAAGGGTAAATGGAAATGAAAAAAGGTCACACTTCACAGTTTATCACATGGATGTTTAGTTTTTTTTAATCAACAAAGATGCTGATGTTATGATAATTGGCGGTGGTGGTATAAAAAAATCTATGTAAAAGTCTTTTCAAAAGCGTTGCTGACGAGCTAAAGGTGGCTAATTTCAGTGGACTCACTTTTAAAGCAGATTTCTGTCGTCTTTAAACTATAAACTTCAGAATTTCTAAAAGTTTCATTCAATTGGTATAATATTGGAGCCTTTATGCTGCTGCCAGCTTAATATTTTGATTAATTTAGCAGAAATATGAGATTTCTTCCAGAACTGACCTTGTGCTAGCTAGCTTTAGCTATCACTCGTGCAAAATAGCCACAAAAATCGATGAAAATAACCGTGTTGTGAGAAATTAACGGCGGTGTAATGATCTATAAAAGTGTTCAGATGACACTTTGAAGACTGGAAAGGTTTTCAGATGGTAATCATTTTGAACTTGACTCATTAGGACTAGCTGCTAGCTTGTCAGTCTGGACTGATTTAAACTATTTCTTTAAGCTGAGATCATTCAGCGAGCCATCCACAGCAGGTAAGAGTTTAACTGTTCATGCCCTCTCCACAGAACCCCACTTTAAGATGTTCATTCCTCTAATCATGAGAAAGTACTGATATAAAGTCTGCCCTGACCTCGCTCCAGCCTCCTGACTGGATCCTTGTTGTTAATCTCTTGCTGACTGTTTGCTGTGATTCTGTGCAGACTGTGTTGTCGTCACGTAGATGTTGAGCTTCATACCTGAATTTTCAGGTTTACTGGGATAAACCCACACAGGCAGCGGGTCGGGTCGATCGTCGGTTTCTTTTATAACTTTGTCATTTTGTAGAAGGAGGCACTGTTAGATGTTAATGATTTGTAAAATACTAAGAAAAGGGAAACAGACTTGTCTGATGTATGATGAGTTTACTGGAATTTGGTATTTCTGTGCTTTTCTTTACATCAATAAAGAAATATTCTTCACGTCACCTTGGATCTTTGGATGTATATCTAATGGAAATACATTTTTTAAACTATTGCATCCTGAAAACGTTTCATTTTCTTTATGCTAACTCATATATTTGACAAAGAGGAGATATATGGATGCAGTTGGAGTGAGGACAGAGGACGCAGGGGACAGAGATGGAGGAGGATGACTCGCTGTGGAGACCCCTCAGGGAACAGCTGAAAGAAGAAGATATATTTGCAGCAGATCACACCCAGAGTAGCAGCACTGAGAGTGAGACTCGAGAATAAAAAGTGTTTTATTTACAGTGAGGGGACACCGAAGGACCTGTGGAAGGTGAGTAATGATTCTAAGGTAGTCTTGTGCTGCAGGCACAAACAGGAGGACGGGGGACTCCAGGACTGGGCTGTCGGTGGTGGAGTGGGTGAGTAGTGGGTCAGTGAGAGTGGCAGGACGGAGTCCAGGCTGACGTTTGTTGTCACAGGAGTTCCACAAGGAGTGAAAGAAGATCCAGGCTTCAGAGGCTTGGAGGCAACAGGAGAACCAGACAACCAGGACTAAGACTACAAGAAATACCGGTTAGTACTTTTCCTTAGGTTACAAGGGCTGTCGAACCCTGACAGGTTGAAGGCTAATGTTCCAGCAGCAAGAAGCTCCTTAGAGCAGCCTCACATGCCCAGATCTTCATCAGCAGGATGGAGAACACCTGCTGCTGTTTCAGCTCCGTCCTCAGCTCAAGAAGCTGAAAGAACTGCAGGTTATGTGGAAAATGGCTGAATCCCCACATTTCAGAAATGAAACTTTTGTTTTCCTATTTTTATTTGTGCATCCATTTTCTTAGTGATCTAACTGATTCTGCATATTTTGGGCTATTTGAGCCCAAAATAGACCAAAAACATGCATGTTAGGCTGCCTTCAGGTCCATGCCTCCATTGCAAAAGAGATCTGTGCTCTCAGTGGGATTTGCCTGGTTAAATTAAGGTTAATAATAAATGTTGTGTGGTAGTAGCTGAGAGTCATCTCCATCACATACTTTGATGGCTAACATATCATGCATGGTCTTAGTTTAAAACTTTGACATTAAACATGGTGGGCGACATGCATTCTGTTAAGGAAGGCTAAAGTTGATAAAGCCGTTAAGGCTTGGGTATCCAATGTGCGGCCCGAGGGCCATTTGCGGCCCTTGCAGTGACTTTGTGTGGCCCGCAGCTGCAGTTTAAGAAGGTTATCATTTTGGCCAACAGGCTTTAGAAGTCGATGCAGGCTTTCTGCAAACTTGTTGGAAATCCTTTTTTATATAATGTTAAGGTTTAACAGTAAAACAGAGGAAAAGCAATCTTCTCAAAATGAGCAATATTAAACAAAATACAAACCTTTGGATATAATCATTTCATTTTCACTGCATGGTACAAAGCAGCAAATACCTTTACTGATTTCTACCAGAAAGAAGACTTTCAGATAAATGTTCATAAAACTTGTCTAAATATTGCAGTTGATAAAATAATCAAGAGGGGAAACTGGACATTTTTAAATGACTATAATGTGACATCATCTACATACGAGTTGATCAACTTTATCAAACCTTCTTTGAATCTGTTGCAGTGATTGACAGCTGGACGATTTCTCAGAACTTGGATCAGCCCTTTCAATTCAATTCAGTATATTTATACAGCGCCATATCACAACAAAGTTGTCCTTTTGGGTCGTCCATGGTACAAAAGGCTGATCGACCCGCTTATAAAAGGACACTTACTGTATTTTTCGGCCTATAAGTCACATTTTTTGTTGCATAATTTGCATACCCTGCGACTTATAGACCGAAGCGATGTATTTATGGATTTTTTCCCATATTTATAAACCAATTTTTGGCTGAGATATGACTGTTTTCATTTGTTCGGACTGAAAATATTGGACACTACCTCTTTCAGCCACTAGATGGCACTAGAGTAGATTGGCATGCCATTGTGTCATGTAATAGGTAAAAGTGGCTATTAATGATACAGTTGGCTTGCCATAGACTGCCACCTTCGCTCATCTCACCTGGAACAACCGTCAAATCAGCTTCATTTCTCTGTGCCGCCCCAGAGAAATGAAGCTGATTTGACCATTGAAGTGCATTTATTAAGTAAAAGTTTAATTGAGACACATCTTTACTATAAAGTCGAGCAAACAAATAATTATTTAGGTGGTTATCTTGTTAAATTTGCACAGCAAGGCGTCCCTCTGTGCACTCCCACTTCCGAGAATCGGCTTTTGAAAATGCAGCTGATGTGACCTTCAAAGTGCATTTATTAAGCAAAAGTTTGACTGAGACACATCTTTACTATAATTTTGAGCAAACAAACAATTGTTTTAAGTGTTAATCTTGTTAAATTCTTATTAAAGTCCTCCTGTGCACGTTCCTGCAGCTGCCATTTGGCAGCCAATCAATTTTGGGCACAACACCGGCCCACATTTTCAGGTTGTCAGCGGGACGTGCAACAAATGCGACGCGTCAGCGGTGACACAATAGATGCAACTTATACGGTGAAGCAACGTATTTATGTATTTTTCCACTTTATTAGACATAATTGGACTGATGCAACTCCTAGGGCGGAGCTACGTGTACGGCAGAAAATACGGTACTCAAATTATGCTTTTGTTGCTGTGACCAGACTAAAATGAACTTTCCAAACACAAGAAAACAACAAACATAGACCCAACTAATCAATTAAATCAAATCCTTTTTAATAAAAAAATTAAGCTTAGTGTTTAAGAGGCTTTTAATGTTTTGGATCTACAGCAATATAAAACTGTTTCTCCACCAAAATGAATCAACTTTTGTCTTTTCTTCTGAATATTGTTCACGTCGAGAGTTAAATTTGTATTTTTGTGGCCCACGAGTGTTTTCATCCGGATAGTTTTGGCCCACATATGAAAAGGTTTGGACACCCCCGCTTCTTTTATTAAAGAATGTTTCCTGTCAGAGAATTCAGCATCTTGTCTGCGTTGAGAGGGATGACTTTTGGCCGTCTTGGCGTCTTGCTCAGAAACGCTGCTCAAACTCCTCTCGTCAAAACTGGACTCCCTGCTGAGCCGACTGTCCCCTCATGAACCAGAAACCTCAACGCTCGGGACATAAACTCGCCCCCCCACAGATCCTCCTCTGTTTGCTCCCACAGCAGCTCATTGCATTCAAACGTCACCTAAATAAAACTCTTTAATCTAAAATCTGGCACCTTTGTTTCCAGTCCAACCAGTTAATGTATTTTAAGCCTTTCTATGTTTCATTAAAGGTTATTTTAAGAACATCTCACCACTTTTAAACCCTGATTTACAAACACAACCTGACAAGTGTTTACCCTCCCACCCAGACAGCTGTCAGTCTTTCGTCTTCCACGTCCATCGCTCTGGGCGACGTATCCAAATGTTTACATATTTAGAGCCAGATGTGTATTTTAAGACCGACCGATCTGATCTGACGTTCAACATGAACGTCTCCGGAGCTTTAAACCCGTTACAGTCCACAGAAACTGACTTCCACAGAAGTTAAAGGTGTCAGCCCAACACACTGAAGCTCCTTCATCACTATTCTGTGCACAGTTTTTGTTTGTTTTCAGCTTTGAAATGTAAAAAATGCAAATTAAACGTGAAAACGTGTGATTCAATTGGGAATACAGTGACTTTTCAAGGGATTTAAGGATTCAAGGTTATTTATTTGTCATTTGCACCTGATGTGGTGGAACGAAATTATGTACACAGGGTCTCAGTTACATCCAACAATAAAATGTAAAAGAAAAACAGTAATACGCTCTAAAATATGAACTAAAAAAACATCAACTAAATATACACTAAGCACTAGTAGCATAAAAACAATAAGCCGAACAGCAGCACGAACATGAGTCTGTGTGAGCAGATGAGCACGCATGAACACAGCAACATGAAACAGATCAGCAG